CTATAGTGAGGTCTGTCAGACTAAAACATCAAGCCTCGTCCACACTAGCTGCTGGATGTGTTAATAAAATAAGTGAGGAGAAACTCTGTTTTTTAATTTAAAAAAATTAACTAAAACAGAATTTAAATCTATTAATAAGTGTGTGCCTCCGACTAACTTTGGTTAGAGTGATCATGAGTCCCAGCTAAAACCAGAATGTGAGGAAATCAGCTGGATAAGCTGGCGGGGTGAGAGGTCACCTGTGCAGGGTGATAATGTGAGCGGTGTTTGCCATGCAGTGAAAGCAGGAAAGAAGAAACCTTTGTTTCAGAGGCTAAATGCATATATATGTGTGAGTGTGTGTGTGCGTGTATGTGTGTGTGTGCCTGTGCGGAGTGGCCTCCTAGCTGCAAAGCTCTAGCTGGTCTGCCTCACCCTCCCTTCTTTCTGCGTCCGTTGGGACTCGGGTCTAAAACTTGACACACAGCCGTAATTGCAGTAAGTGTGTTTTGTGTAAAAATATCACCCAAACCTGCACCCCTTTCCTGAACTGTCAATCTTCCCCCCAAATCACTTAGCTCCTAATTTAATAAACATGGGAGGGGTTTTTCCATACCATAAACACGGTTGTCTTGCGTTACAATGAGAACATATGTTATATCATTAGAATCCAGATGTAAAGAGGTTTCTCAGTGTTGAYATTATTTCTGTGACACAATCCAACGACAATAAGGTTTTAAATCTCCCACAGGAGAAATCCTTCATTTCTGCAAGACAATGTCCTGCTAGATGTTGACAGAAAACATCCATAGCRGCAAACTTACATACTTTATATGTAATCAGTTTCTTTTTGTTCATGCATGTATTGGAACTGAACGTGCTCTGTGGTCTGTTGTCACACTCACGGGCAGTAGCACAGCGGAGGAGCCGGGCATGGTCGGGTCTGGCAGAGTTCCAGGCATGGAGGCTGGCAGAGGCTGTCTCTGTCTGTTTCGTAGGTGCAGTAGTGAGGACAGAGATCCAGGGACAGGCCTGAAACCACACACACGTTACAAACATCAGGTTGTGCGCCTATACAGAGTACAACWCGACAGCTCTTTTTTTTTTTTCTTTTTTTTTATCTGGTTAGTGGCTTTAAACGCAACATATGCAACATTAAAACCACCATGAAATGAGAAACACTGAAGGTRTTGTAATGATKGAAGATTAAAYGAGGTGAAAGAAAATGTGTATATTGATCTTTTWAAGCCTGCATCTCAAATTGTGGAGCCCTGTGATAAAACGTGACCTAATTTATGATATATAGATATGGAAAATATGAAYATATTTAATCATAAAACAATTATAAACTGCTTATAAAACTGTTGASTAGTTTTGTTTTAGGTTTTTAAAATGTGTATATCTGACATTTAAAAAAATGAGCATACTGAAAGGACGAATGAATGATTAAACAAAATAAAAACATGTATTTTCCATTTATATTGTCATCAAACATTAAAACAACATACTATACTTGTTTAAATGTTCACTATCTGTATATTAATTAAACATCCTTCAGCATTTTTTAATCATTTTTGACAATTTTATYTTTTCACATCATGGTAACAAAGTAAAATGTTCACAAATAAATAATTATTAAATTAATATGCAATAAAGTTTATACTATAAAAGAAGAGGAACGTTGAAGTGGTCAGCATGGCGGTCCTATTTTCAGTGCTGAAAGTAACAGAATCTAGAAAAAAACGCATGATTAAGTACAAAGAATCTAAAAACAGAGGGTGAGTAAGACCTCAAACATCCTGTTTACAAAGGACTGCGTTTTCAGAGCTGTGGCTATTTTTTTTTTTTACGTTTCTTAAAAATAAATTGCAACCACCCTACTTATAATGCAGTTCTTTTCATGTCGTTTAGTGCTTTCTAATCTTATGTCCCACTCACTGAGTCAAACTGAACTTACTTTAGAATTGGTTCAAAAATGTCAAATTTCATTCATTTTTGGGTATTTGTGTTTTCAGCTAACTTTAGGAAAATGCATTAATCATACTGATGCGTATCTGATGTACTCCTAAAATTACTTGGAGAGARACTATTAAACATCATTGCTATTAAAACATTTAAATTTTAAAACTTTTCTTCACCCTTGGCACATTTCACTCAAAGAACAAACATCCATAGTTTCATTTATTTGGAGTAAAAACAGCTTCATCTGTTCTGCTGTTGTAATTAGACAACACAGCTCTTTCTTCTTAAACTGATGTAGTCATCTTGCTTGTTATTTCARTAGATTTTCACATCTACAAAATAAAAAAACTGTGGTTGTGTACATGTTGGGAGTTCTTTGGATCCACTTAAAACAAGAACAGTTCAAGTAAAACAAATTGTAAATGCTGATGTTGCTGCTGAATGAGTAATATTTGTTTCTAAACAACCACAAGAGATGAGCGTGAAGAGAATGGGCTTTAGAAACGGCTGCAGCTTTGGAGGCTCTGTGGGAAAAAGCGTCCTCGGCGACCACAAAAACGTGYGCAGACTAACTGGCCTATTTAATACTTACGGCCACATCAATAAAGCGAACGCACGGAGGGGCCCAGATGAAGCTTAAACTAATGACGGCAGTCTTGTCTCAGTCATCGGCTCGCCCGCACAACCTTCACCCGCTCACTGTCACATCATCAATACAGCTGCCTGCAAATCCCTGCTTATACAAACACCAGCTCGCAGCTGCAGGAYGGTGAAGCAACAGGCATGAAGTTACTCCTCAGCCTAAAAACGGGCCGTGATTATTTAATAACCGGCAGCAAAAGAATCAGTAAGTCTCCAGTTATTAGTATCATCGGGACGAATGCTGCCGCTCACCACTCAATAAAATCATTCCGTCAGAATTAAAAATACACAGGTGAGAAGAATTTCGGCGAGTTGTGCTGAAAGAGTTTGTGAAATGAATCGTCGCTGACCGCCTCACCGTTAGAGTGAAACGTGAAAGAGTGATGGCCAAATGGAAGGGCTGCACCAGAGCAAACACTGTCCCACCTGAATAAATACCTGTATTTTTCCAGACCTAAATATGTGCATTTATGCTCCAGACAGTTTAGATTGCTCCATGTGCACACACATAGGACCATTACCGTCCTGACCGTGTGTCACTCCCGTCTAACGTCCCAATTTATCACAATCACACTCGTTTTACGACACGTATGGCACCTCGGCGGCATTGCAAATCCAAACAGTTCCACATGGGAGAAGCCATGAAAGTACAAAGAGGTGTGCAGCTTCTTAACTGCATCTGTACCGTCTTCTGTAGTGTTCAGACTTTGTGTCAAAGAGGATGAAGAAACAGTCAGGTGGCACTGAAAAGATGATTAGTTTAAAAACATGTTACAGGTGTGTAGAGAGCTTTTTTACTTGCTTTTTTTTATTGTAAACATGGATCAAAAAGGTTAAAGGTGGTTTTGAGGGGAGTCAAATAATTTTATGTCTGAAAACTTTCCATTCCTCCATTTTTAAAAATGAAAATGTAAACTTTTTTTTAACATTTTTTATGTTGCTAGGGGTGTAAGAAAATATTGATACACTGAAATATCGCAATATTTCATTGCCCGATGCTGTATCGATTCTCAAAAGCACTATCGATTTTTAACTATGACTTAATGGATGGATGGTGTAAGAAGAAATGTGAAATACAAATGCAGTTTTCACTGTTGCTCAGTGTCCTTCTGATTGCATAAAACTAAACTGAATGAATTCTTTTTTTTATTTATCCATCTTTATAATATTGTGTCGGCTGGGTCAGGGACTACAGGCAGAAATTAGCACCTAGAGCTATAACCTGATACAGTGCATCTTACCTTTTGTGGTTAATGTATACTGTATATTGTCCCTGTTTTAAATAAATTAAAAATAATAATAATTTTATGCATGTAATGCATGGTGTTGTCTTTATACTGATATAATATTTCGCCTTTCTTGCAGTATCACAAAATATCATAATCACAAAATATCAAAATCCCTGTTTCATGATACGCATCATATCACCAAATTCTTGACAATACACAGCCATAGTTGCCAGTGGTGATAATATAGTGAAAAAAAAGGGGAGTGGTGGTGAAGAGCTGCCGGTTCGAATCTCATGATCGTTGTCAAAAATGTAGGTGGGAAAGGTGAAGTGCTCACACCTGCTTCCACCCTCATTTGCCCCACTCTGTTCATGAGCAAGGCCCTTAATCCCCTCGTGTGCTCCCCCAGGCACCCTAGATGGCAGCCCCCTGCTCCACACATGTGGGTTGTGGTAGCTTGGTGGTCAGTGGTTGCGGCAGTAAGGGTATCCTGTGTAAAAATCGTCATTCGTGTGAGTTAGCTCACTGTGACAACCGCTGATCAGCCAAGGAAACACAGCTACCAGTGTTGTCCTGCTCATTTAAACTAACACTATACAGCATTCTTCATAGATGACTGATTTGTAAATACCCACAGATGAGGAGCTGCCATAACATCACAAATTAAAAAAGTAATAAACAAGAGTCAGTTTAGACAGAACAGGACAGGTATGTCAAGCTCCGTATTCTAGAGAAGAAAGCTTCCTTTGAAGCGTTTCCAGCTCGTACCTCTGCACCTGTCTGTTGGAAAAGCTAACACAACGTGTGTGTCTGTCACCATGATGCGCGTCAAAATCACAACCTGCTGATCAAGTGGAAGGAAAACAACACCAGCATGTGACAGGACTTCCTACGAGGATGAAGTCAGCGCTGAATCTGCTGATTCATTAGGAGCTGTCAGTCAGTGAAAGAGATGAAAATACTACCAGCTTAAGAACAATCACCTGCATTATGACTCCTGTGCTGAAGGACAGATTGTTTAGGTGATTAGTTCACTGAAGGAAGCTGCTTCAGTATCAGATTATTTTAAACCACAAAAACCACATAGAAAATAGTTTCAGTCTCTAAAGTTGAAATTTGATGTTTTTAGTAGGGGTGCAACAATACATGTACCTGTATCAAACCGTTCAATACACACTTTTTTTAAATTTATTTTATCAGCTTGTCTTCTGAAGATGCTCTRTGTTGAAGGATCAGTGGATCTGTGTTCGACTACTCCACCTAGGCTGCACTGTCGAGCGCAGATCCACTGAGAAACTTGTCGTTTCAGCAACATTTAATTTAAAAACTGTATTTTGAGGTTAAACAAATGTTCATAATTMATTTAAATAAATTACAAGTTAAAAAAGGCATSGACATTTCTCTTTTTTGTATCGAAAAAATATCGAACCGTGAGACTCAAGTATCGAACYGAACCGAATCGTGAATTTTCTGTATCGTCGCACCCCTAGTTTTTAGTGAGTTTAATACTTGTCGTCCCTATTTGTTAAATGCTTGATAAACAAAATTCAACCTGTAGGGCTAAAATATCTGCGTTTTTCTACTAAACAAAGCTTTTAAGAGTAGCAGTGAGTTTGAATAATGAATGCCAGTTGTGGTATCAATATATGTCTGGTTGTGGGAATGTGTGTGTTTGTAAGTGAAAAATGACGGGCTAAAGATCCACTGAGGGGACTGGCATGACTCTGGTGTGTGTGTGTGTGTGTGTGTGTGTGTGTGTGTGTGTGTGTGTGTTGATGGAGGGTTGGGGGAGGGAGAGCAGGTAGTCTCTCTACAGTTCTGGCCCTCCACTCTCACATTACCAAGTGCCTCTCCTCCACAATCCCCACCCAAGAACCAGCACAGTACCACCACCCACCTTCACTCCAACATGACATCATAAATGGATCTTCTTCTCTCCCCGAAGCCGTCTTTTATTTTTTGTTTTGCACCCTTGTTCTATAGTCAGTTTTCGAAGTCGTTCTTGTACTTTTTTTTTCCCCCAGTGGAACAGGAACGATAACCGCCCTTTGTTCTCTTAATCCTGTACAACTCTCGTTTAGGCCTCTAAGGGTGCCCATACTTTAACTCCAGTTCCCCTCTCCTAATCTAAGCTGTACTCTGCACACACACTGAGTTTTACTGTCCTGAGCCACAACTCCAGCTTGAGTGCAGGGACCT